ATTAAACTACAGACCAATGCCATTGACTTGTATAGTATGTAAAACTATGGAGAATTTACCAGGAGAAGGGTGGTGGGGCACATAGAAAGGAATGAGCTCATACATGACAATCAACAGAAGTGTCAGAAATCTACTTGAGTTTTACGACGAGATGAGAGAAGTAAGACAGGAGAGAGAGAGAAATGGGTAGACTTCAATTTCTTTGACTGTAAGAAAGCTTTGGACACAGTTCCATGCAAGAAATTAGTGCAAAAACTAGAGGAGCAGGCAGGAAAAACAGGAAAGGCATTGCAGTGGGTCAGGGAATACTTGTCAGGAAGGAAACAACAAGTGAGAGTACGTGATGAGGTGTCGGAGTCATTCCAGACACTGTACACGGTGTACGTCAGGCTCACATATGAGTATGCAGCACCAACATGGCACCCACACTTGGTCAAACACCTCAAGAAATTAGAGATAGTGCAAAGGTGTGCAGCAAGACTAGTCACGGAGCTAAGAGGTATATCCTATGAGGCCATGTTAAGGGAAATCAGTCTGACGACAGCGGAGGAAAGGAGGGATAGATAATATGTGATAACGACATAAAATTCTGAGAAGTATTGACAAGGTGGATGGGAACACAATGTTTCAGAGATGGGACACACCAGCAAGGGGTCACATTTCGAAGTTAAAAACTCAGATGAGTCACAGGGATGTTAAGAAGTATTTCTTCAGTTATTGAATTTTCACGAAGTGGAACAATCTGGTGCGTGATGTAGTGGAGGCAGAATCTATACATAGACTTAAGAAGAGATACGATAAAGCTGTTGGAGAAGGGATAGAGTGGACCTAGTAACGATCAGCGAAGAGGTGAGGCCAGGAGCTGTGAATTGACCCCTGAAACCACAAGTAGGTGAGTACACACACACACATACACAGTGGCACAAGCAGCAGAGGCACCACTGTGTGCACAACTACCAACAATCTTCAACTCATCCATCGAAACTGCGCAACCATCCGAGGTGTGGAAGACAGCAAATGTAGTCCCAGTTTTTAAGAAAGGGGACAGGCACCTGGCATTAAAGTACAGACTAGTGTCACATGTATAGTATGCAGAATCATGGAGAAGATTATCAGGAGAAGAGTGGTGGCGCTCCTAGAAAGAATCAGGCTTATACACGACAACCAGCACGGTTTCAGGGAAAGGAAATCCTGTGTCACAAACCTACTGGAGTTTAATGACAAGATGGCGGAAGTAAGACAAGGGAGAGCTGGAGGGGGTAGACTGCATTTTCTTGGACTACAAGAAGGCTTTCGACACAGTTCCACACAAGAGATTAGTGCAAAAGCAGATATAATAAGGAAGGCACTGCAGTGGATCAGAGAATATCTAACAGGGAGGCAACAACGAGTCATGGAACTTAACGAGATGTCAGACTGGGTGCCTGTGACGAGTGGGCTTCCACAGGGGGCCAGTCCAAGGACCGATGCTGTTTCTGGTATATGTGAATGACATGACAGAATGAATAGACTCAGAAGTGTCCCTGTTTGCCAACAATGTGAAGCTAATGAGGAGAATTCAATAGGATGAAGATCAGGGAGGTGAGTATAATGCCGAGCACATCTAAATAACTGCTGCAGTATATGGGCGCCTGACAAACCTAAGAATAATGTTCCGACACCTTAGTAAGGAATCGTTCTAGACTCTGTACTCCATACAGGAGTATGCAGCACCATTTTGGAACCAGCACCCGGTTAGTTAAGTAATTAGAAAAGTGCAAAGGTGTGCAAGAAGACTAGTCCCATAGCTAAGGGGCATGTCCTACGAGGAGAGTAGAGGTTAAGGAAAATCGACCTAACGAAACTGGAGGACAGGAGGGATAGAGGAGACATCACAATTGGAAGCTGAAGACTCAGATGAGTCACAGGGATGTTAAGAAGTATTTCTTGTCATATAGCTGCCAGGAATTGGAATAGTCTGGAAAGTGATGTAATGGAGGCAAGATCTATACAGAGCTTTAAGAAGAAGTATGATAAAGCTCGTGGAGCATGGAGAGAGTGGACCTTGTGACGACCAGTGAAGACGCGGGGCCAGGAGCTATGAATCGACCCCTGCAATCACAGGCGAATATAATTAGGTGAGTACACGTACACACATACTGTGGTAGTAAATGGGAGAAACAAGATTTCAGAAGAGAATACCTATATGAAAATGTTGAAAATGAATCGAGAATTAAACGGAAAGTCACCGAATGAGTTGGCGGGAAGTGCCCTGAAGAGGAGGAAATTTCATACAAAGAGGAAAAAAAGAAATGGAAAGAAGTCATAGGCTGTGGTTCACTCAAGGCTGCTAATAGCTATGTAAAGCCAAATTCAAGAGAATTAAACGCTATAGATATTAAAGGAATATAAAAGAAGAAAGAGGAAAGCAGAACTAAAAACGAAAACACTTTTTTTTATGTTGCAAAATTGAATGTATTAGCCGTGTGCTGCTATCCATTGTGTATGATAGTCACACAGTGGGAACAAGAGCTGTTTCCCTGTCATTTTTGATGACACAGGATTGGGTACAAACGAAGTGTTAAATTCTGTCTTCCTTAAGTGGTAGAATACATTAGAGCAGTTATGATATCTTCATATATTCCATTAAAGGTTCATAAGCTACTGCAGCTTCAAAGATTTCGTTTCAGCAGAGCTGGAGTTACTATCACTTGGGAATTACCATCTCTCCCGTAGCTAATTCCATACCCAGGAGAAATGACATTTTTGTGAAGCTATCTCTAATTGCTTTATTATTATTATTATTATTATTATTATTATTATTATTATTATTATTATTATTATTATTATTATTATTATCATCAAAAGGAAGCGCTAAACCTTCCAGGGTCATAGAGCGTCTGGTTGCTTGAGCCATGAAAGACATGAAATGTATTCACAGTATTTAAAAAGCAAGGACGCAGTAATGTTGGGGTGTGGAAAGTCCCAAGTCAGTGGTGTACATTAACTGAAAATCTTGTGAGGTGAAAACACAACTGACAAACTTAAGATTAGTTTTTAGGAACTTCATGTAGTTTTCCAGTAGACATTTCCGGACGTAATTCCCCGGAAATCCGTTCCCAGACCAGGCCTTAGTTGACACCCTCATTAATCATTATGTTCATGCTGGCTGCACGCAGTACTCTGTGTGCATCATAGTCCGGCTGATCCAGAGCTGACTTGAGGAATTATCAAGTTTTCTCTTGAAGACAGTTAATAATGTGTTAGTAATTCCTCATATGTATGATAGGATGGTGTTTAAAGTTTTTAGTTCCTTAACAGTTATTAAATTATTTCTTAATATACTCAGTGCACTCATGCTTTTCGTTGGGGATATTTTGTTCCGTCTGGCGAGCCACTAGCTTTTGTTGGAAGAGTTGTAGGTGCGCAGATTTAGGACCAATTCCTCTAGAATTTTTCAACTGAAATTTATAATGTATCTTCCTTGCTTATGTTTCAAGGAGGACAGTTCGAGGGTGTATACCTGGAGGGTGTATACCTGGAGGGTGTTCCACTGCCCCCGCTGCCCGTTCCATGACCAGGCTTCCTGGAACTGCAAGGTTTCCAAATTATTTGAGTGCTTCTCTGAAATTATACGAGCAGTGAAGGTTTTCTGTACCTTCTCCACATTTACGATTTTATCTAACTTAAAGGGACTGTTTGTATACAACAATGGTCCATATGTCAGGCCCGTCTTGGTATATGCAGTTCCATTATGGAATCAACATCTGATCAAATATGTTCAGAAACTAGAGAAAATGCAAAAGTTTACAACGAAACTAGTTGAGCAGCTGAGGAGCGCTGCTATTGAAAAGAGAGTAAAAGAACTATACCTGATGACATCTGAGAATAGAAGGGTTTGGGAAGATATGATTACGACGCACAAGATTTATTTCCGCTATTTAATAAATTAGATAGCGACCACGAGGCTAGATTCAGTGAGTTAAGAGACATCGACCAGGAGTTCAGAATCGACCCCTCATGCACAGTTAGGTGAGTATACAATCACGTTAACGCAGAGAGAGACGTAACGAATTAATGAATTAGGGTAATTAATGGGTTTAATAAACTTGTAGATGTAGAGGTGAGGGTTGATACTGTACATGACTTCATATGAAGGTATTATACAGAGTGGTTGCTTGTTACTCTAGGAATCTTTCTAGTAAAAGTTGAGAGGTGGGTCCGGGAGATTGAGTGTTACCCGGTAGCCATACAAAGTATCCACAAGCACGTAAAGATTGATATTTGCTACAAGACTGAAGGACATAAACTAAGAAGAAAAGCCAAAGGAGCTAAACTGTACGACACGGAAGAAGATACTAGGAGTTAGGGATGATGTGAGCATAATATGCAACGCTGTAAGATGTAAGACACTCAAAGGAGTTAACAAAATCGTAAATTTGCCTTGTACTTTGTAATTATATCTTCATTAAATCTTATTTTTTTCCTGTGTCGTAAAAAACTAGGCGAGTACAAATAGGAAGCGCGTCTACCTCGCGCTCAGCAGACGGAGGGTCGAGCCTCCACCACCACGTCTTGCGCTGAATGACCCACATGGGTTTAGCGCTTCACAAGAATTAAATATAATATAAATCCTGTGTCGTAAAGAGGCATTGTGATATATGAAGGACCAGAACGTGGGGAAACGAAACTTAAACGAGCAATTAAAAAAAATGATACAAAAAATGGTTCCCTTTTATCGTAATGAGGAAGTTAACTCAGAGATGGTGGAAACAGAATCATATATGGCACGAAGAGTACATGTGACAGAATTCAATAGGTTAGAAAACAAATAACCCCCGATTGATCGTAGGTTATGAGATGAGGATCACGAGCTGAGGCTCAACTCCTTGAGCCTCAATAGAAAAAATACACACATATACATACAAACACGCACAACAGCACATCTCCTATCTCATACACCAATTTTCTCTTTGCACACCCCATTGTGTAACCCTGCGCCAACTTTCTTGCTTCTGCAGACGCTGCAAGAGGAGGTAGCAAAGGACGTGGAGACGTACGGAGTTGCACTGCGGGACGAGGCTTCACTGATGTTGAGCGTGGCAGAGGCTCTGGAGCGCCATGAAAGATGTTCTGCGGCTGAAGTCAGTAAGTGGAAGCTTCCCACCAGTGGACGACCGATCAGCCTCTTCGGTGTGTCGTCGACGGAAGACTCAGTGGAGCCGCATAGAGTGATGCGAGCCCAGGACGACAGTAAGAGCAGCGGCATGACCCCCGACGTTTCTCTCTCTCACTCCTTGATGTGCTCCTCTGGTAATGTATGAGCTACCTTAGTAGTTGTCTCTCTTAAGGCCCTTGGTGTGAAGAGGCACGCCTGCTAAGAGAGGAGCGCTCGATTTCCACCCACTACTGGATGCTTTTCAACCAAATCAGGGTGGAAATCTTCGTAACTTTTTTTGCAGAGTATATCCCAAAACTTTCTCCAAGGTACTGAGAGTAGTTTATTTTTATTTGTTAATTTTATTTAAAGTTCATGGTGAAGGATCGCTTTAGTTTCACCATACAGATGTTATTTAAAGCATTACCGACACCATTTGTGTAAATACTAAACAAAACAGATACGGAGTGAGAAAAACACAGAGAAAAAAACATAAATCCCATAACTATTATATGTTCTTTATATACTGACGCCAGAACATAAATTTAATGTGACGTAGAGACTAACACACGATAACTTGATATATTATCCCACACCTCAGCATAGTTACTATTCTCCTTTGTGCAACGTATCTCAACAAATATTAGATAAAATATATATTTAATAAATAATCTTTTAAATAGAACAATATTTACTCTTCAGTTACATTTAAAGGTTTTCGTTGACAGTTATCAAGTTCCAGAATTATAGTATCTCTGTCCAAGTTCTACCTTGAACAATGAAAGAGATCAATCAGTTCATTCAAACAACTTATGATGTATTGCTGCAACGTAACAATACATCCTCTGCAGACTGAATATCATATATAAATATTAATTTTCATGCTTCAAACTTTCTCCAATCTTTTTCAGCAAAACTGGCGTAAAACTACATCCATAATAAACTTATCTAATAGGTTTATTATCCAAGTAGTGTATAGTTCAATCATCTCTAAGGAATCAGTAATAGTACTTATTTGCTGCCCGTCCTTCAACATACACAGTGTTCATGGGGATCACCAACACTCTGAGGCACTACGATGTCCCACACTGCCATGCATAAGTTACTCGTTTGTTAACTTGACCAACCTGTACTTATTGGGGTCCCTGACTGCATGAACTTTTTTTCAAGTGAATTTTTGCTCTTGCTCTCACAATAGTTTCCCCGATACTAATTCATAAGTGAGTTCGCAGAGTTCGGCACAAAACGATCCTTCACTGTGTTTTTGTTTCTTTGATTTAGTATTGCACAGTAAATGTATGAATGTTATTTGCTTGCTAGTAGTACCAAATGCCAACCATCCTCGCTAGAAGTCTTACGTAAATAGTAATTTAATTTTCTATATGTAGAATTTTGCTTTACTTGTCATTTGTTTTTCCTTGCATAGAACGAATTAGTTTTCCAACATGCGTATGATTTCTCTTGTACTTATGCTCACCATACTCTCAATACTCTCATAGTACATGATTCCACAGTTTTCCTCTGTCACTGTCTGTCTGTCTGTCTCTCTCACACACACACACACACACACACACACACACACACATACATACATACACACACACACACACACACACACACACACACACACACACACACACACACACACACACACACACACACACACACAGGAGTAGGAGCTATGAATCGATCCCTGCAACCACAACTAGGTGAGTACACACGTTTAGAGAGGAGGGGGCAAAATAGATGATTTGGAGGGCACATAAAACTGTAGTGAAGGGAGAGAATAAAGGAGATTTAGTGTGCAAGGGGCTTGGACATCCAGCAAGCATGTGTGAACGTGTTAGATAGGAGTGAGTGGAGGCAAATGCTTTTTGTTACCTGACGAGCTGTTGGAGTTTCAACACAGTAAAATTTCGGGATTCAGGGAATTCTGTATTAGAAGATACCGGTAAGGCGGACTTGACTCCTGGAGGTGGGAAGTGCCTGCACTCTTTAGTAGGGGTAAGGATATTTGCTGTTTGGACGGACATCAGCACGCTTCTGCGACAGTGATAGAGTGAATGACGGTGAAAGTGTTTCTTTTCCGAGTCAGCCTACCTCGGTGGGAGACGGCCATAATGTTAAAAGTATATATATATATATATATATATATATATATATATATATATATATATATATATATATATATATATATATATATATATATATATATATATATATATATATATATCCATATATATATATATATATATATAATATATATATATAGATAGATGTGTATGTGTGTGTGTGTGTGTGTGTGTGTTGTGCCGAATAAGTAAAACTGGTCAATTAGCAGGAACTCATTTAGCATTAAGTCCTTTCTAAAATTTTCTCTTATACGTCTAAAGATATATTTTTTTTCAATTATGTTATGTAAAATTTAATAGTTTTGTGTGTATAGTAAATAGGTGAGAGGTAATAGGCGAGGCCGAGTGTAAATATAACATAGGAACATACTGAGAGGAGCACAGCACGACCATGCTAGACAAGTCCTTCTTAAACCCAGCCCTTCAGATTCATTTATCTGTTAAGCTTATATTTTCTCGCTATCCAAGTGTTAGCTTTGATTTCTATTTGGCAGATTGCTTTACTTATCCTTAACATTATTGCCTAACCAGTATTTACCTATACTCTTTTTAAATTTATATATATATATATATATATATATATATATATATATATATATATATATATATATATATATATATATATATATATGTTTCTTCGGTGTTATTTAACATTTTAATTGCGGTTTCCTTTCAATTAATGTTTGTGTATAACACCAATTCTGCACTTTAATTTTAATTATTCACATTATATCTTGTTGCATCTGCAACATTATGCGATTCACCCTACTATTCTTCCCTTCTCACGCATACTTCCTCTCACTTTCTTAGTTCTTCTTCGTAAAACTATTCTTTCTTAAATATTTTTTCATGGAATTTCTGTTTACCAAGTCATCTTCTGTACAATACGTATATCCCTTTAATTATATTCTATCACTGACTTACGTTGAACATCTTACATTCCATATATTTAGTCATCCTTTTCAAATATCATATCTTACTGTCTCGTTCATCTTTATATTGTGTGTGTGTGTGTGTTCACCTGCGAGACCAAGATATATGACTAATGTGTATGTGTTTTGTTCCTCCGCGCAGTTATCTTCCGGGTGTACTGCGCCGACCACACCTACTGCACTCTCAGGTTTTCCCTCCAGACCACCAGCGACGTCATCAAGAGGTCAGCCGCCGACAAGCTGGGTGTTCGTCAGGAGAATCTGTTGCTCGTCGAGTTAAAGTCAACAGGTTCGACCATGTTCACTGCCTTTTTTTTTTTTTTTTTTTTTTTTTTTTTGAGCAGAGTTAAATTTACATGCTACGTGCGCTATCCAACCTCAGCAAATTTTTAACCTGTGGCTCGGTTGCCAACCCACTCAGCTCACAAACTGAGTGTCCATGTTACGATAGTCGGAACGGGTGGAAACGTTAGGTATGTTTCCTTGAACCTGCTGTCCCTGTTCACCACCTTAGCAGTAAGTAGGTACCTGGATGTTAGTCGATCGTTGTGGGTCGCATCCTGGGGAGCAAGATTAAATTACCCTAATAGAAATAAGACAGACAGTCCCCGATGGCGCACTGACTTTATTGGGTTATTCTGGGTAGCAAACCCTCCGGGTTAAAATTCTTACTTTCCAAGAGAATGTCACGTAAAATAATCAGCCACTTAAAGGTACCTTTTTACCACTGCCTGAACAGAGGTAAATCAAGGAGACTTGTCCGTATGGATATAAATGCTCTGGAAAACGTACAAAGGAGGATGACAAAGATGATCCCATGTATCAGAAATCTTCCCTATGAGGATAGACTGAGGTCCCTGAATCTGCACTCTCTCGAAAGGCGTAGAATTAGGGGTGATATGATCGAGGTGTATAAATGGAAAACAGGAATAAATAAAGGTGATGTAAATAGTGTACTGAAAATTTCCAGCCAAGACAGGACTCGCAGCAATGGTTTCAAGTTGGAAAAAATCAGATTCAGGAAGGATATAGGAAAGCACTGGTTTGGTAATAGAGTTGTGGATGAGTGGAACAAGCTCCCGAGTACAGTTATTGAGGCTAAAACGTTGTGTAGTTTTAAAAACAGGTTAGATAAATACATGAGTGGGTGTGGGTGGGTGTGAATTGGACCTGACTAGCTTGTGCTGCTGGGTCTGGTACAGTGCTCCATCCTTGAGTGGGGATGACCAGACTGGGTGGGTCATTGGGATAATCCGGGGGGTGGGTCATTGGTCTAATCCAGGGGGGACACATGGACCTGCTCCGCATGGATCAGTAGGCCTGTTGCAGTATTCCTTCGTTCTTATGTTCTTATGTATGTCTCGCTTGCCTGCAGATTGAATCCGGGTCATTTCAGTTGTGAGTCAGTCTATTTGCCTTTAAGATTTGGTGATGATCAAACAATTGAAAGGGCATAGAGTAACTTTATTGACAGTAGAGCTTACGAGTGAATTGTGAAACATAAGAGTTCAGTGACCGGGCGTATTTTGACCTTCTTTGGGAACATGAGGTAAAGAGGACGTCTATTCCATCTGGTTATCCATATCAAATGAAGAATTTTTTTGAGACACAGAATTGAAAGGTGGAGGATGGGCCTGTATCAGTGGTAGAAGTCGAGAATATTGGACGCCTGAAGGTTTAACAATCTTCTGAGTGTCTGCATGCAGTTCAGTGATGGTGACTTAGGTTAAGGTTCTGGTAGAATTTTGTTTGTACTAGTCTGCCAGCTTTTTCTTGTTGATTTTATTTCTTTGTGGGTATTTAACGGGGAGAGTTCAATGATCGTTCTTGCAGTTTAGGCATCGTGGTCGAGTTGATAAGGTGTAATCTTCATAGGTATATCCATCACTGCAACATTCAGGACAGTATATCTTCTCCTTTAGTGGATGGTCCTCGGTATAGCGAGTGTACGAGCAACAGTTCTATCATGGCTTGAAGTGATTGTGTCTTTCTGGCTCGACATTCCTTTGGTTGACGTGGTGGTATGGGACGCTGAGACCGTCACTGGGTGCTTGAGGGACCATTGAACCCAAAGTGATAAAGATTAACTAGTCACACAGAAGCGCAAAGAGAAGCGGGTCAGTATATATACGAGAGAGGGACGGGGCGAGAGAACGAGGAGGTAAAAGTATAATGGTATAAGTAGTGGTAGAGGTAGTTGTGGAAGTAGTGGTAGAGGTAGTGGTGAAAGTAGTGGTAGAGGTAGTGGTGGAAGTAGTGGTAGAGGTAGTGGTGGAAGTAGTGGTAGAGGTAGTGGTGGAAGTAGTGGTAGAGGTAGTGGTGGAAGTAGTGGTAGAGGTAGTGGTAGAAGTACGTAGTGGTAGAGTTCTGTGCTTAGTATCCCCCCCCCTCCCGTTTCCTCTGTGTTTTGGTCTCACTCTCGAGAGCCATTAGCTCTCCTGCAGTGCTCCTTTTTTGTTTTTTCACTTGTCCTTAGATTACCTATTTTCTCTTGTCCTTTGACTACTACTACTACTACTACTACTACTACTACTACTACTACTACTACTACTACTACTACTACTACTACTACTACTACTACTACTACTACTACTACACTACTACTACTTCACCCACTACCCCTACCACTACTTCTCCCGGTTCCTACGTCACGAGTTAATGGTCCATGTTGGACCGAAATATCGTCATAGGTTTCATTGTCCTATGTGCGGGATATTTGTGTATTGCTTCATCTTTACAAATATCTATACCACCTCAATAATCCCTCTTCCGCCCTCTGGATAATACTTTTCGAACCCCGCATCTGGGGGGCACTACATATTGCCTCCCAGGCACGACATGTGCACTGCTCTCAGCCTCCTCTCTGCAATATTTAAAACCCATCCTTCACACCCTTATAAGACTCTTGGTAAAACTGTTCTCAAATATTCCTTTTTGCCTCCATGGACAACGATCATTGTCTTCGCAGTTGCCTCAGTGCACCACTCACCTTTCTCACTCACGTCATTTCTATTCTTCACCTCACCTTTCATAACTCCATTACCAAATATTTGATCTCATTTACTTCCTCCATATCCCTTCCCTTCAATCTGATGTGTCTATATATATATATATATATATATATATATATATATATATATATATATATATATATATATATATATATATATATATATAATTGCTAGCCTGGGTGTGATAGAATATCGCATTTGATCCCTGGGCTATTCGTATTAAATATTGGTTTTGTGCTAACCTAACATCTAGAGGCTTGCCAGTCTGTTCTATGTAAAATAAGTGCAGCCATTACAACCAATCCTGTAAACACTTCCAACACAGTGTTGAGCGTAATTCTTGATCAAAATGCTTATAATTGCCCAAGAATTTTTAAAAACTTCATGCTTGTTGAATCCTTTTTAAGGCATTCAGAAGGACAGATAAGTTCTCATTGTCTGGGATAACCTGCTCATACTTAATCTGAGGTGTTATCCTAGGTTCAGTCCTACGATAAGTTTTTCTAGCTACCAGCAAAGCAGTAGTTTCATAGCAGTATCAAAGATTTTCCTAATTGCATCACTGAGGAAACTCTGTGACCGCACATCTTGAGAAAAATGATAAGGATCTGGACACATTTTTTTGCCGAGAATGAACGCTCTTCTCCCGTCTATTATATTTACTATGGAGAAAGAAATGGATTTTAAACTTTCATTCTTAGTTGTTCTGATCCATTGGGTTAATAGAAAGTTCAAGTTTACACTATATATAAAGGCCACTAATGTTTGCTCATATATCCACTACTATTCTAACCATGAATCAAGAGTAAATACGAGCGTCCTTCCCACTATGCTTCAGAGAGCCTACCGAGTGTGCAGTCCTGAGTTTCTTGATGAGGAAATTAGGAAAATATTTCATGTCGCTACGAAACTGCGGTACCATAAGGAATCTGTAGAAACGGCTTTGCTATCAGCTAGGAAAACTTATCATAGGACTGAACTTGGGATAACACATTAGATCAAATTGTTCTGGTTATTCCATACAATGAGAATTTATCTGTCCTGCCAAATCCCCTTGAAAGATTCAACATACAATTAGTTTTTTAAGAATTCATGGACGGTTTAAAGCATTTTGATCAAGAATTCCCTTTAAAGAACATAAAAAGCACAACATTCTTACTGGAACAATGCACAAATAATCCGCACAGTGATGAAATAAGACATTTATCTGGATAAATAATGTTTATTTCAAAAGTACACTGCAATAATATGACGGATAATTGATTTAATAAGAGTTATGACTACTCTTTGCTTTTATAAGCATTCCTATGCGCTTTGGCATAGAGTCGACCAATGTTAAACCTGTTTTTGCAAGGTCTTCGCCGTGGTACCAGGTACCTAATAGCAACAGCAAATAGCTTCTCCACAATTGAACAGTCCTTTTTTGCGATCCTGCGTCTGGTTATTGCCCAGAGACTCTGAATTGGGTTGAGATAAGGAGGCTTTCCAGGCTAATTCAGTACGCTTAGCCCACTCTTTTCGAAGAATGTCGGCATTTTACTGGAGGTGTGTGACATGGAACAAGATAATGCTGGAAAATGACTTCTCCATCAAGAAGCAAATGAGTTGCCTGGATTGCCTTGTATTTGTTACTGCTCATCGTTCCCTTAAGAATAACATGCAGTCCAGGCCTTTAGCAGCAAAGCTGCCCCACAACATCTTTTCAAGAGGGTGTTTTGGCGCTTGTTGAATGTATCCATTCCGAAGACGTTCGCCCTTGCTCAGTCTCACTACCACTGATCTATACCCATGTACTTCAAAATGCTCCTTGTCCGAAAAAATAACATTTCTCCATTTATCTGTTGTCCGTCCTTTGTGAGAGTGCCCACCACAGCCGTTTTTTCTTCAAAGCTGCAGTCAATAATTGTTTCTTTACCGGCTTTCTGGCTGTTCTGCCAACTTCAAGGAGCAATCGTAAAACAGCTGAAGAATCAACTTTTACGTCATCTGAAGTCAAATCTCTCTGCAGATCTTTGTTGGTTTTCTTGGGATCCTTCACACTATTTCTTATGATAACCTTGTCATCGTGAGGTGTTGTCTTTCTTTTTCTTCCACATCTTCCCCGACGCAGCGATCCACAATCACCAGTGTAGTCAGCTCTCTTCAAAATCCGACCAAAAGTTGACTTTGCTAGGCTCAAATTTTCGACGATCTGTCTGATTCTCAAATCAGCCTGTTTTCTAAGGGCTACAATACATGCAAGCTTCCTAGGTGTAACATCCAACATGAATTTCAGCGG